TAAAATTCTAAGCTAGATTTTGAAGTAAAATTTTTTGCCTTAAATTTTTAGTGAAAAGGAGGAATTACATTCAATTTTTCTTCAGGACAAAGATAAATTATTAGTTACTATTTTTTAATAGGCATTATTATCATTATTTTTTGGATCTGCCAAAGCAAGATTTTAATTCTCAAAATATGCTCTTCTTTCGTTTTGCTTTTGTCAGTTGATGCATACATGAGGAGGTAAGTTACATTTAGTATTTGTCTCAGTTGGAATTTCCCTAAAATATATTCTAAAAGCACTGATCTATTGATACTTCCTGCAATAAAAGTTTGCCTTGGGCCAATAGGTTTGGATACTCATATTATTTCTGTATCTTGGAAAAGATTGATAAATGGTAGCATTTCATAGTGTGTGAGTTCTTTGGTAGTGAAAACAAATTCTAATTGTACTTCCTCCTCTGACCAATTGTGTGGGTGTTAGAGAAGTCGTTTCCTTCCTCTTGACTTCATTTCTTCACACATATATGGAGAATGCTGAATCAGTGATTTTCTAAGAACTCTGGTCCTTGGCCTGTGTACTTATTTTAGTATAGATAAAATATAGGTTGGGTCTCTGTGTTCTTTGAAGTGTATGAACACTGTCAACATAAAAATAAGACTTTTGGAAGTGTCATCCTTTATGGTGGTCCCAAAGATTTCCCTAAATAAAAGGGCAGAAAATACAGCTGATAGATTGTAGACTAGAAAGATTTTGTGATGAATAGGAAAAATGATTTAATTTCAGGAATTGAAGAAGAACTACAATTTTAGGTTATGAAGTAAAAGGGGCTATTTGGTATGATGGCACAGCATGAGTTTGGTCAACAAAAATTCTGTTAATGTAGAAAATGGTAATTGCATATTTAGTGAAAATGTTTTAACTTCTAAAATTTTAGTTACCCTATAATCAAGCCAACACTATGACTTTAGCTGTTGTCAATTTTGAAATGAGTATTTCTTTGATCTAGTAGTAGTCTAAGTTTTACTGAAACTCAGTAAACAGAGGGATATGGTTGGAAAATTTAACAAACAGGGAAGAAGAATTTATTTTATATTTGCAACATTTTTTCACTGTAAATAATATGCTTATTATATTAATCACTTTGCAACTTTTGCATTTGTAGCCTTAACCTTTCGCACAATTTGATCAGAAAATTTGATTTGAGCTTCACTATTTTTATGGTTCAGACTCCATGCAATGTACATAAGTACAATAACGTCACAGCATATTAATTTTGCAATCAACAGGAGATGTACTGGGGTGATTTGAATTATACATCAAGAAGGATTGCATCTTTTTTGTCACATCTTGTAGAATGTTTTTAAATAAGCATTATTCAAAGAAAACTAGGTATTGGTCTATTAATTTAGCATTACAGTCTTCAAGTACATTGTTTTTATTTTTATTTTTCTTATACTGATTCTTCTATATTCTGTGACCTTCAGTACAAACTACTGTGTGGCTTGGCATAAGAAAATAAATGAGGAACTTGTTCTCAAAAGTTAGCCCACAATAACTAAGAATATGTTAGATTTCAGATGAATTAAATCTTGATTTATCAGATTTTTCTCTGTATTAGGAACTATAATAATTATTGTAATGTATTCAGTCAGTTAAGACATGTATGTGCGTAGCAATAAATACTTACATAAATTATTCTCCAATTGATTCTAGTGACAAAGATATCTGATTATTTCTAAATAAATGTCTTTAAAAATATTTTCAATTCTTATTTTCCCCAAGAAATAATGACTTTTACTTAAAAAATGGCTTCACTAGGGCCAGCCCCGTGGCTCACTCGGGAGAGTGCTGCGCTGGTAGCGCTGAGGCTGCGGGTTCAAATCCTATAAAGGGATGGCCGGTGTGCTCACTGGCTGAGCGTGGTGCAGGTCACACCGTGCTGAGGGTTGCAATCCCCTTACCAGTCCAAAAAAAAAATGGCTTCACTAAAGTAACTTTATTATGTGACTTTAATAAGTATACATGGTAAAACAACTGTGACTGTTACTACTTTATTGAAGCAAATGGTAATTATAAATTGATGCATGATAATTGACCAACAGACCTTATGCCAACATTATCAATTTTGTGGTGAGCTCAGTTGACTTTTAAGCTATTCAAGCATTATCTATTTATTAGTAATTCTCTTTTTCATTTAGCCAGATATTTCTAGTGCACAGTTTAAAAACCTCAATTATACTCAAAATAAGCATTTATGCAAACATAAATTTTTACATTGTTATTGCTTTTCTGTAAGTAAAAATGATACCTGAACTATTACTTGTGTTTAAATCTATTATTTAAGAAATTTAATTGCAGAATATTTAATAACCTAAAAACAATTTTCTTGTTAAAAACAAATTTAACTTAACAATTTTTCTGAAGTTCTTACAACAAGAAAATGGAGGGGACACACTTGGGTGGGAGGGGGGAGAGGGAGGAGGGAGGGAGGTTTCGGTGAGGGGACACAATAACCAACTACATTGTATATTGACAAAATAAAAATAATAAAAAAAAAAGAAAAAAAAATAAAATGTTTTCTGATGTATGAAATTCTAGAGAAAAAAAAATCCTTTGATTCCAGAGTAAAAGACTAAAAATGCAAATACTGGCATATTATGGAATCAAAACATAATTGGTCAATTAACAAGTGAAAATAATTATCATTTATGTTGATGCAGGGAAAAGTATGAAGAGGGCAAAATTTTGAACACACAACAGTTTTTCTTTTCTTTCATTCTCCCAAAAAAACAAATTTAACTTAGATATATTCATTTTCTATATTATTAAAATTGTGTTTTAAGTTACCCATATATCATATTATATATAGTCATTCAAAATATAGCATTTGGTTGGATTAACTTGTAAAAACTTCATTTCTGCCACAATGATTCATATAGGCTGTAGTATCTCAAAGGACAAAGGCTGTGATTGTCTTGATATCACAAAAATCTTGAGCAGTGTGGATGCTTAAAATCAATGATAAACTTTTAATCTTTAATTAAAAAGAAGCACCCTGAAATTTAGAGATACATTTGGAAATGGGCTTTATCATATGCAAAAAAAAAATCCTTATAGTTATAGTAAATGCGTTAACATGTAATAATCCATATACAGCCTTAGAGTAAGGAAATGGTTCCATGTTTGACCCTGTTTCATGTGATAAATTCAAGTGTTTCCTCAGAGTCAGTCTTGAAAATTTTAAGCATAATTTGCTTATTGTCCTCAGTTTTAAGGAAAATTGATCAATATTTGACTTTGGTGGCTTATAAACCAATTTTCACTGTTCAGCTTGGAAACTAAAAGTCTGGAATAGGTTGTTAAAATGTGTTTGTTTTCTTTTTTATCGTTGTCACTTGTTCTGCCTCTTTTACTTGTTCCTTCATACCCTTATAAATAAGTCCAGACTCATCACATTCCTTTTTTGTTTTGACTTTTCAGTTATCAGATTAGAAAGGATTTTGATCACTAAGGTCTAGATGACACATTTCAGTCTTAAAAATGAAAAGCAAATACCTTATTACCTCTCTGCCTAAAGCAGTCTTTCTCTTTTCACTACAGTACATTTCAAAACTCTGTATTTAAATATTACAGGAGTTGATTATTCAAATAATCAATTAGAATATTGTGTGTGTGTGTGTGTTTATGTGTGTGATTCTGATCATTGAAGCAGAACCATCATTTGATGGGTGGAGAGTTGCAGAATTCCACTTAGAAAATCAACCCTACCCAAAGTGTCTTGTGAAAGCATTGGGTTTTTTTTTTTTTCTTTTATACTTCAGCTTGTATTACCAGTAAATTACATTGCTTATAGATGAAACATCTTGTGATGAAAAATAAATGTGCTGTGTGCATGTCAATGACACTTAAAAATATTGCACAATGCTCCCTCATTAATCCTTATTACTGCATAGAAACATTACTTTCACTTCTATTTTCCTGTGTATCTCTGACCTATTACTTCTGTCTAAGCATTTCATATGTCTTTGGTTTCATAATATTCTAATTTTATCCAAAATAGATTTTCGGTAATGGGCCACAATAATCAACCACATTGTATATTGACAAAATAAAATTTAAATAAACAAATAAAAATAAAAATAAAATATAAAAATAGATTTTTAAACAAGTTCAAAATGTTTATCTTTTAAACTTTTATTTTTATATTCATATTATTAAATATACCCTAAAACGCAGAAATGATCAGGAAATTATTTTTACTGTTGGCCTTAAAATTTTACAAAGAATAAACTTGAAAGTCATCTGTCCAGATCAATATATATCCAAGTTTTTATTAACATATAATTATTTTTTTAAAAAAATAGATTTGCTACTTGTTCCAGGTCAAACATGATCTCACAGTGTTTTGAAAGAAGTCACTTAACAATGTAATGTCTGAATTTATCTAAAAAATAATCATGAGAAATAATATAAAATTTTAGTTGTGAAAACAGCTGCATTATAGGAAAAATTTATTAAACCATGATAAGCATAATTTTATTAGGTCAGTCTCATGCTAGTTTCTATTGATTTTTGGTCTTTCCCATTACTATTTTCCACATAAGGATTTGGAGGCAGAGTAGCCTGTTAAGTCAAAAACAATGTTTTTCCTTATTTCTATTTCTAGTAGTAGGTTTCATGAGAGAAACTGACATTTCAATAGGGGACTGTACTTTGCCATCACTGCCACTGAAACTAGAAAATCTATCGAGTTCTTGCAAAATGTTGAGTTCAACAGCACACTGCCTTTAGGGGAAAGACCAGTCATTACTTCCCAAGAGGCCAGCATATTGAATAGGTTAGGTCTGGTTTCAGAAAAACATGCTACAGAAGACAAATTTCATATTCTCTATAAACTGGAGTTGAGAATACATTGCAATATATTAAAATTTACATTGTAAATATATTTAGTTATGCTAATATGTGTTGGGAACAAAATATTTATTGTGCTTGACTTTATTAAAATCTCTTTTTAGCTTTCATTCCTGGACTAAAAAAAGGTACAGTAGAAACCAACACGAACCATAGCAGTGTGCATGTTTCATTTTTAAATGAATTGATGATTTGTGTTTAAGAACTTTTTGTCCTTTCACTTTTCATAAAACATCACAATTTCAACTGTTTGCTTCAAACATATATTTAATATGTTTAAAACGAACTGACCTCTAGGAAGGGTATTCAGTCAGTTGGGTATCTTGTATACCTGGATGCTTTTTCCAAATTGTATGCCATCAATCTCTAGATAGCAAAATTAATATGATTCTACAGTCATTTATTTGACTTACTGTACTTGCTTTCAAATTACCTAGGGATTTAATTATTCCTTTTTCTCCTCTGACAGTGTAAGCATTTTCAGCATTTTGTCTGAGGAGGCATTACAGATATAATTCTACTTTTCTATATTTTTTCCAATTTGATATATAAATCATATATGCTGTATACATGCCAGTCAAAATAATCCAAGTTTATATACTTTGTGAACTTGTAGTAATATGTAAGATGCATTTTCTTTGCCAAATTATAATGCATAGATTACATATGAATCTATACTAAGTTAGGTTTAACAGACAAGAAATTTCTTTAAAAATGAAGTTTAAGCAATCAGTTAAAATGTAATTAATTTTATTGTGCTGATAAAATTTTAAAATACTGCAGGATATTTTGAATGTTTCAAACATATTTGCACTCATTGTGTTTGTGCATGTATTTCTTTATTGTCCACTTTGTATTTGAGGATGGATCTGTCATATTGTTTCATAGCTATTTAAAAGAATAATTTATTTCACTTCATACACTTTTATTTTAAAGTGTAATTTATAATCCATTGATAGTTTGACCAAATAGAAATAGCATTGAAAGAATAAATCTTCCTGAAATCAGTCATAAATGTAAATTGTTATGTAAAGAAGAACCTCACCTTTAATCTTAAATTTTGATGTGCCAGCAATACTAACAGTATACTTTATTATTTTTTGGTATTTTAAATGTTGTTAAGTGTTGCTTTGGACTTTTTACATTACTTTGGAGTAGTTCTCTTGTGATCTTATACAATCAGTTCTAATTTTCATGATACATTTTTGTCTATCATCTAAATAGTGGAATTTCAAGCCGAATATTTTATTTCCCTTGAAAATTTTGAGCATTAAATGCTTACGTGGTTAATTCAAGTTAAAGTGGATGCCTTGCATGTGCTTTTCATTTTGTCTCTACCCTTCTAGATTATTGGATATCTGCTGATATTATTCAGTAACTAAGGATATCTAATAGTCATGGGGAGTCATTTGGGTTTGTGATACAAAGTCAAGGTGTTTTGAGCATAACTATTCAGAGGTATAGTAGAAAGAGCATTTGAATGTGAGTCAGGACATCTGGAGTTCTGATGACAGTTCTACACCTGACTTGATATATACACCTAGCCACATAATTTAAACTCACAGAATCTCTACTTTCTTATTTTTCCTCATTTAAAAAGTTTTATGTCTGGGCCGAGCCCGTGGTGCACTCGGGAGAGTGCGGCCCTGGGAGCACAGCAGCGCTCCCACCCGCGGGTTCGGATCCTATATAGGGATGGCCGGTGCGCTCACTGGCTGAGCGCGGTGCAGCCAGTCTCAAAAAGGATAAAAAAAAAAAAGTTTTATGTCTCTGCAACATGACAGTATGCTCATCATAATAGTAATAGGATCAAAAGCTAACAATAGCTAGTATTTGAATGTGTACTATGTTCTAGGCATTGTTTGTAATAATTAATATACAAATGTTTTAAATACTTGTAACACTTTTACATGTAGGTTCTATTATTATTCCCATTTTTTCAGACATGGAAACTGAGGCAAATAAAAGTTAAATAACATGGAAATTCATTCGATAATTTCTAAAGCACTTATACCTGTGTAAGACATACCATTACTAAAATTGTTTGAGACTTCATCACTACACCACTGAGTAATGATAATTATAATTAAGCTTATACTTTAAATTTCACTTTCATTGAATAGCATTTATTTAGTATACTCATAAAGCAGTTGGGTCCTGACTCTAAGCTACACCGAAAAACCATAGTGGTGTTTATTGTTATATTTTATGTCAATTTTCACATTTTGAAGATCCACTTTCCATTATCAGCTCATTTTAGAATACTTTTTATCATTTACCTCACATAGTACAATTTTTTAAGCATATTTCATAAAATTGTCACTACATAAAAGAAAAAAGCCCTCTGTGACCTTAACCATAAATTTATGAAACTAGAATCATTTTATTCATTCAACTTTTCTTTTGAGGGCTATCTTATTTCCAGGGATGACACTGAGTTACTTTCCAAAATATGTAGTTTCTTCCCTCATGGTAAAGTTGGTATATGCAGTTAAGTACTTAGCAAAAAGAGAATTATTTCTACTTCTGGAGATGCCTTACTTATCCCCCAAGAAGAAATTGCAAATATATATTTGTCAATCCATTCAGGGAAAATTCTTTTTTACCTTCTCCTGAGGAAAACATGCATTAATAGAAGACAGCAATGACTGGAGTCTTAGGCAGGAGCCGAGGGCATCCACCCCCTCCACTGGGAAGCAGGCAAGACAGCAAAACCTGAGGACCTAGGCAGGAGTTGAGGGCAGCCCCTTCCACCCAGAAGCAGGCAAGAGAGCACACAGAAAATACCACTATCGTGCAGGTGGCCCACCATAGCCACCACCAAAGCCATGGCTGCTGCAAAAGTGGTTCAACACCATAGCAGTAGCCACAACCACTGTGCAGGTGGCCTGCCACACACTTGACTGTATTGACACAAGGAGAGTCATCAGCAGAGACAGGAAAAGGAAGAGGACATCTCTCTCTTCAATGTCCACTCCAGAGTGGTAGAGGATGCATCTGCTTTACCAAATGACCAGACATCAACATAAAGATGCTAGAAATTTGAAAACCCAAGAAAATATGACACCACCAAAAGAATATAGTAATTCTCAAATACCAGACCCTATAGAGCAGGAAACTCTTGAAATGACAGAAAAGGAATTAAGAGCAACAATCTTAAGGAAACTCACTGAGATATAAGAAGATTCAGTTAGACAACATAATGAAATGAGAAAAGAAGTCCAGGATACGAAAGGGAAAATTTACAAGAGATTAATACCTAAAAAAGAATGTAGCAGAACTGGTGGAACTGAAAGAGTCACTCAATAAAATTAAAATAAACACAACTAATGGCTTAAGCAGCAGGCTAGAACAAGCAGAGGAAAGAAATTGCTGATCTCAAAAATAGTCTTTTCAAGATAACCCAGGCAGACCAAAAAAAAAAGGAAAAAAATATTTAAAAAAATAAAGAAAATCTCAGAGAGATAGCAGACAGCCTTAAACATACAAACAAACATTTGAATCATGAGTCTTCCAGGAGAGGAAAAAGTTAAAGGCATGGAAAACCTATTCAATGAAATAATAATGGAAAACTTCCCAGGTATAGGGAGAGACATGGCTTAAAAATCCCCAAACAGATTCAACCCAAAAAGATCCTCTCCAAGACACATGATAGTCAAACTGGCAAAGTTCAAAGATAAAAAGAGAATCTTAAAAGAAAAGAGAAAAGCATCATGTAAACTATAAGGGAGCCCCTATCAGACTAACAGCAGACTTCTCAGCAGAAACTCTACATACCAGAAGAAAATGGGTTGATATATTTAAAATACTATAAAAAAACCGAAATAAAACAATAAAAACCTGCCAACTGAGGATACTGTACTCATCAAGGCTATCCTTCAGAAATGAGGGAAAAATTGTGTATTTTTCCAAGCAAACTAAGAAACAAAAGCTGTCAGAGTCCACCACCATACAACCAGCCCTACAAGAAATCCTCAAGGCAGTCCTGCATTTGGAATATGAAAAACAATAATCACTACCACAAACATACAAGGTAGAACAAAAAGTGCAAACGAGCAAGAGAAAGAAACTAAATCTTACTACCACAAAAAACCTATAACGTAATAATGCCCCTGCTTTATTTCTGATTTTGGTAATTTTGGTCTTCTCTTTTTTTCTTGGTTAGTCTAGATAAAGGTTTGCAAATTTTGTTGATCTGTTTAAAGAATCCACTTTTAGTTTTGTTGTTTTTCTCTATTGTGTTTAATCCCCTATTTCATATATTTCTGTTGTAATCTTTGTTATTTCCTACTTATATTTGCTTTTGGTTTAGTTTGCTCCTCTTTTTCTATTTTCTTAAGGTAGAAGTTTACATTACCGATTTGAGATTTTTCTTATTTCTAATATAGGTGTTTACAAGTATGAATTTTCATATAAGCTATGCATGAGCCCTGCATCCGACTCTTTTTCTATTTTCTTAAGGTAGAAGTTTACATTACCGATTTGAGATTTTTCTTATTTCTAATATAGGTGTTTACAAGTATGAATTTTCATATAAGCTATGCATGAGCCCTGCATCCGATAAATTCTGATATGTTGCGCTTTGATTTTTATCTCAAAGGACTCACTAATTTCCCTGCAATTTTTCTTTTTACCTATTGTTTATTTAGGAAAGTGTTGTTTAATTTCCACACAGTTGTAAATTTCCTTCTGTTATTGTGGTCAGAAAACATATTTTATATGATCTTAGTCTTTTTAAATGTATTAAGACTTGTCTTGTGGCCAAAAATAGAAAAAAACAAAATAAAATAAAAAAGAAAATATATATTCATAAACATTGATTAATACTTTTCATTGTGTTTGTTTGCAAGTGGACTTTTTTTTACATATTTTAAGAGCAAAAGTTTCAGCTGTATCAATTACCTTTTATGCTATCATTGAGGTTTAGGGTTTATGAGCAGTAGAATGTCAACTGGTTTGTTTCCCTGCAGTCATTTGTCTGCTGTCCATAGTAATGCTTCAGTTATCCAAGCTGATTTTTGGAACATTTTTACAGTGTTTTATTAGACAACCTTTACCCCTTGGGCCCACTGTTAACTCTCAAAGGTCTGTTCTTGAGTTGGTTTTCCACATTTCTTGTTAGTACTGAAGGGTCAGCTGTAATTTAAAAGTTCATTATTTTAGACTTGAAGTGTTGGATGAGTCAGAGATAATTGTTTAGGG